ATACCGATAAAAAAACGTTTTTACTTTTTCATTGCTTATACTTTAAGTAATTTTAATATTGAAAACCTGTTCTTGTATATTTCGCTTTTATATGTACTTAACACTATTCTCGTTTTACCAATGTATTTAATACTCTAGCTTAGAGCGGTAATAACTTCTGCGCTAATCATTTATGAACCTGTTCAAAATGTTTTAGTGTGTCACTAAGATAATGCATAATAACTGTTTGAGTTCCTTGATGAAAGAAAAATCATGTAACATGATGGTTTATCAGTAGTGTCTGACTATTACCCCGCTTTTATTACATTTATTTTGTTGACATTCTTGTGTAATAAAAGGTAAAACTAGCTGGATGGTATTAATTTGGTTGTGAATCAACTCTAAATAAAGTATTATTCTAATTGTATTTTGTTATGAAAAAAACAAGCACTAAAATTTTATTTATAATTAAAAGTTGTGGTAGCAAAAAAAAATCTAAAAAAAGAACTTTTTACAACAATGAAAATATATGAAAAGTTTAACATTGAAGAAAGATAGTAAACAAAAACATATTATTAACATTGTCTACATATAACCAACTTTTACAAATCAAAGAAATGTAATATGTCACAACTGGTGATATATATAAATTTTACAAAGCAAGAGGCTATGCAAATACATCATTTGTCTGGATACTTTAAAAAAATTTAAAACATATATATGTAAATAGATGTATTATATTTTAATTGGAACAAAAACTGACTTATAAAATTTTTATCCTCAGTTAAAAATTATTATATTAATAATTAAAAAAAAGAAGTAAAACATAATATAAAAATAAAGGTTAAAAGAAAAAACCATTTTAAAAGATATAATTACAAAAAGTCAACACAAAGACTATGATTTTCATTCTTTTTTAAAAAAAGCTTTTAAACTATTTCTGTTATCGCTTATTTTTCTTTTTTTAAGACGACTTTAATCAGGAAAATTTACATGGCATTATTTTTCTGTTTTTAAGACGACTTTAATCAGGAAAATTTACATAGCATCCAAATTTTATGAAATAAGGTTATTCAAATAATCACATTTCTTGTTAACCATTCGTTGAAATACTGGTTTCTAAACCAACCTCATAGATAATGAAAAATTTTTTTCAACTTGATCGATTAGTAATTTTGCAAAAAACTTTTTTAATTTTTGTTACACAATTATTTTTATATAAATGTTTGAGTGAAACAAACAAATGTAATGTTAAACAATTACAAAATAAAACTGTTTAAAAACTGTTTACTATGAAATGCATATTTAGAAAAAATTTCTAAATAATTTTTTTGATGAGTAATTTTTGTAAAAAGCTGTTTACAAAAATATTGCATTTATTCTAAATGAGCATTTCATTGATCATTAAAACAAATATAATTGACCATATAGTTAATGACAATAATGATATTAATAATAGCAGTAATAATAAAAGTATTAATAATTGAAATTATTAAAAGTTTTTATAAAAAATAATAATTAGGACAAAATATTTAGTAAAAATCATTATAATAACAAAAAAAATCAATATTGGTAATGTTAAAGCTATAATAACATATTTAATAAAGATTTAGCAGATGAAAACAATAACTCCTATAATAATAGTAAATCAATTAGGTAGCTTGTTTAGAATAAACTGATTTATTTAATTTATTTTTGCTATAAATATGATTGCATAATAAACCTAAATTATTTTTTTAGTTTAAGCTTATCAAATTAGTCATGAAAATTGAAATTAAACAAGGAGGTGAGTTTGATAACTTTGCTGAATTTGAAAATAAGTTGGATTCTTGGTCGGCATTTACAAACGTTTTGTGGACTAAATGTAACAGCAAAACTGATACAATGGCTAACAAGGGTTCGAGTCAGAATTCAAAACGTTTTGATGAGAAGTTCAAATTTAGAAATGATACATATATATGCAAGCATGGAGGAGTTAAGAGAATAAAAGGGAAAAGAATTCGCCCAAATCAAAGGTTTTAAATGTTTTGTTTATCTAATTTCTTTTTATCTAAACGATTTTCTAAAAGAAAAGAAATCTAATATTTTATTTTTGTATGCTAAATTTCATTTTAATCATTTTTTGCATGCTTTTGACTGGCTTGTGGATGCTGGCATTCGAACTTAAATAAGATCTCACACAACTACAACATGCACTTCACTGTGGGTAGTGAATATTATAATATTCACTACCCAATGATAGAACTCGATAATTTTCAGAAATTGAAGATTTTTACTACTTTTCTTTTAGCTCATTTAAAAATGGATGTAGTGCCAAACTTTATATTAGTATTAATAAATATAAAACAAAACTAGTAGTACAGCAACATCAGGCTAACCATAACCATAAAGTCAGCAGATTAGTTCAAATATATTTTATTATTAGCTTGTTTTGTAAAAAATTGTACATTTTTTACTTTTTGAATTAATTTGTATTTTTTCATTGTAACTTTTATTTTTTAGTTTTATTTAATTTGTATTCATGTTTATGCATTCATAAAACTGCTTTTATGCATTACCCTGAACAACGCCAGTTAAGTGAAATAGTTAAAGATGATATTGGCACAATGTTTAAACTTGGTGTTAAAGTCTGTTTTTTAAAAGAATATTTAAAAACAAAGAAAGGTAACATCGAAAGATTTATTTAACATAAATAAAAAAACTGAACTAGAACGAATTGGGAAAAATCAAATGAGGCTTTATTGATTAATAAACTTATGTCCTTCTGTAAGCCTTCTGCTCTAACTTTTCTTTTCCAATTTTTGTATTTTACAGGATTTATGATTATATATATACTTTATATATATGATTATATATAATTATATATATGATTTTATATTATGAATATATATAAATATATTTTATATATATGATTATATATATATTTTACAGGATTTATGAGTATATATATAGAGGCGGTAAAAGCCAGTTAGTTTTAACCTAAATGTATTCAGAGATTTATTCAAAGGTTTATTGTAAATTGAGTTAAATTCAACTATAGTTTAAACAATACATTTTATTGATCGATTTATTTTATTTATATATTATCTAAAAGTTTTAGTTAAAGTTTCATTTTTAATTTCAGGTGAAAAAGATCCTGATGCAGTTTTATCTGTTCAAGTTGATTCAGACGGTGTTCTGCAGTTTCTTTTACTAATAAGTGGAGATATACAGCAGGTGTTTGATATGTTTCCTGAAGTGCTAATGATTGACTGCACATGGTCCACAAACAAATTAAGAATGCCTTTATTCACTTAGTTAGTGGAGGATGGAAATGGAACAGGTCAGGCTGTTAGTTATGCTTTCATTGCACAAGAAACTGAAAACACTCTGCAAGATGTGTTTTTAGAAATTGAACTTATACTGAATCTTAACCAAGTAAAGGTTATTATTCTTGACAACGACCTGAAAAAAATAGTTGCAGTTTCCAAAGTTATGCCTACAGCAGAAATCCAACTGTGTAAGTTTCATGTTTTGCAAACATTTTACAGATTTTTAAATAAACAAGGTTTAGCCAGTATAAAAAAAGATAATCTAAAAAAAAATATTTTAATTGCTTGTGTATGCAAAATCAAAGAAATTGTTTGATATAAATTTGGGTCATCTTGCTTCAGTTGCACCAGAAGTTGTAATGGCATACTACAACAAAAATTGGGGCTTGCCACACCAAGTTAAGTATTGGGCATACTATGAAACTATTAAGTATCTTAATCTTGGTAATACAACAAATAACAGGTCCGAGTCCCATAACCAAAAAATTAAAAACATATTGTCTAGGAAAATGTCCTTAGGAGAGGCAGTAAAAGATATCCTTTTGTTACATACTTGTAAATTTGAACAAATGGCTCATATTGAGTTTAATCAATCTTTTAAAGAGCAATATAGATTAGATACTGATGAAGATATAGTTACAGATGATATTGTAAAAGTTCTAACTTCATATGCTGCTGGAATTGTAATTGCAGAATTAAAAAAGTCTCGCACTGATATGTTAGTGTTAAATAAAGTATGTTCGTGTCCTATGCAGGTTACTATGAAACTTCCTTTTCGGCACACAATGGCAGTGAAAATAGTAAATGGTGATGCTATTTTTAAAGCAGAAAATGCAGGAGAGCGATGGCATTTAAGCTATCAAAAAAGAAGTTAGCTTTCTCGTAAGACCAGAAGTTTGCATAATCACGCTAACAATTTCCTTCATTTTTAAATTAATAAAACTGAAAAAAAGTCACAAAGTGACATTTTCTAAAGATCAGAAAATTAAAACTGTCATGTATCCGATGTCATGTAAACCGATTTCGGATTATTTATCCACTCTCGGAATGAACGAGTTTGGAGAAAAATTTGATTCCTTAAATTTAATTTATAAATTGTGGTTAGCTGGGAAAAAAGTTATAATTTCTGATATGGAAGCACAAGAATTGCCTGAAATCTCTAATTTGCCCACAGTGTCTGCTTTGCCTTGAATCTCAGATTTGCCTGAAATGTCAGATTTGCTAGAAACGTCAGAGTTGCCTGAAAGGTCTGATTTGCCAGAGATGTCCAGGGGCCGGTTCCAGGAAACAACTTAAGTTTAATGGACCATTAATAATTCAATGGTGCATTAAGTATCTTAATGGGGCACTTAGTTAAGGAGCCCATTTAGTCTATTTTAATAATCCATTAAGAGTTTAATGGTCCATTAAATGTAATTAATGCCGCCTTAGCAAAGTGCCCAATTAAAGCTTTAATTTTCTGTTCCACAAAACAAATTATTTGAAGCCTTAGCAAAGTGGTAACTTAAACTAAATTAATGGTGTATTCTAGCGTTTACATGATATGCCAAAGTGTATATTTAAAAATAGGTTGGCAAAGTTATAAAAATTAAAGAAATTCTATAAAATCAAAGAAATTAACACCAAATGTCCAAATACATTTATTGATTTATTTTATTACCAAATCGCTATGTTAAATCTTACATAACTGTAATATTATACGTAGTATCATTATGAAAAATATTCCTCTATAAACAACCTTCTATATAACTGACCATCATGACCATCATTACAAGTAACATGATCTTGGTCATCTTGATCATCCGTACTTATTTCATTGTCTGGTAATTCAAATCGTTCAGATTGCTTTATTGCGATATTGTGAAGAACAGCGCATGCAGCAACAATGCGACAAACTTTCACTGGCTTCATTCTTATCTCGCCATGAAGGCAGTGAAATCTTCGTTTTAAAATTCCAAACTTGCGTTCTATAATACACCTTGTTTTCCTGTGGACAATGTTGTATTTAACTTCTTGTGGAGAAACAGGATGAAGAATAGGAGTTAATAAATAACTATGGCATGGATAGCCACTATCACCTAAGATACGGAATCGTGCGCACTTCCAGGCCAATCTGCAATATTCAGAAATGGACCTTGGCTATCACAAATAGCTTGAACAATAATACTATGATAACCTTTGCGGTTAACATAGTATGGTTCTTGATCTCCAGATGGTGCTTGAATTTTAACACGGGTTCCATCCACAACTCCAGTAATTCCCGGAAAGCCAAAACGTTCAAGAAATCCTTGTTGAATGGATTGTTGAAATGCAATGTCAGACGGAAATGAAATGAAGTTGTCAATCAGCCGTGCTAATAAATCGGTAACATGAGTTACTGTGCGGCTGACACTTGATTTAGCTAATTTATTTGTTGAGTCGCCGATGAGTTCTAAGAATGATCCTGTTGCATAAAAACGCAATGTAATCGCTAATTGTTGTTCTGTAGACAGAGATTTACTGCGATGCGTTTGTGGCTCACATTCATTTCTAATAAGGCTGCATATATAGGTAAACGTATGTTTGGTAAAACGAAATCGCTTAAAAAATTCATCATCATCGTAGTCAGTTAAAGGATTTAAGCGTGTAGGATATGTTTTGATTTTTTTACTTTGCAGATCATTTGCAAGCAAGGGAACAAAAGCCATATTACGGAAATATTAAATGTACGATAATAAATTATTAATAATGCCACTTATTTAAAACACGAGTCATAAATGTTTGCGAATAAGTGTATTTACAGTGCTCACAATAAAAGTTGTATTTAAGCAATTTAGTTTTTGTAGACGCTTTATAAATTGTTTTTTTATTTCATGTAATAGCACTTTGGTGTCAATTAGCAGAATACAAACGTAATAAATAACATTGCTGTTGGTTACAATACAATTATAAAAATCATAGCTAGATAAAATAATCGCTATAAGTACGTCATAAAAAACTTTTGAAGACAAACATTGTTAACTGTGTTACTGGTTAACAAAAAGTATTTTCATAATCATTTGTTGAAAATTATTTGCAGTTTATCATTTTATAAATTTGTAATTGTATTTTACCATGTCTAATTCAAATGATCATTCTGCACCCACTAACTGCAAAAAACCGCGAAATGCAAACTGGTCCAAAAAAGACGCGTGCATTTTGGTGGAACTTTATGAAACATATTATGCAGTTATTGTTGAAGCCTTTAGTTCTACTACAAATGTTACCAGCAAATCAGAATCGTGTCAAAAATTACATCTAAAGTTTAACAATGCGGGAGTTGACAATAAAAGGAGTGAAACTGAAATTCAAAATAAAATAAGCAACATCAAAGATGATACCCGAAAATATGGAGCACTTATACGGAAGCACGTTAATGAACCACCACTTTTTGTTCAAAAAATGTTTGACATCATGTTTGGATCCACAGGTGATTTCTTGATTGGAATCCAGTCTGGAGTTGAAAGTGGAACTGGGACAAACAATTTGCAGCCGATAAACTTAAATTCTGGCAATAATGTCTCATGTGTTTTTAATAATAGCCTTGAAAATGAAGAGGATGTTCAACTAATCCAACAAGAGCAACCATTTGCGGCACAGAAAAACAATGCAAGCCAGGCACCAACTACATCTCTAATGACACCGACTCCTAAAAAACTTAAAATTGCAACAACAAAAGAAATGTCGCTTCAATCCACGTTACTGGAAGAACAACTGTTGATGGTGCGTGAAAATCGCATGCTCATTGCGGAACAGCGAAAAAAAAATGAACAAGAACTGTATAAAATACAATTAGAGACGGTAAAGCTTACTCACGAACTAAACAGATACAGTCTTAACATTCCGCCACAAATGACAGATTTAGAAAATGCTGGCAAGGCACAAAGTTCGAAAGCATATTCGTACATGCAGGATTTATATTAGTTACGAATTTTAACGTGGTATTGGCATTTTGTATTAGGGTTGATGTTTTATATATTTGTATTTGTCTTTGTAATTGTGTATATGCATTACATTTCTTAATTTGTATACTAACTAATTTTAAACATATATGGCTTTTAATTACTTTTAGTTATCTTGCTAAACTTAAAGTACGTATTGAGCAACCTTAAAGTGCACATTAAAATGCTATATTTTAATGGGGACCATTAACTTTAATTTTATTCGTGGAACAGAATTAAATTAAGGTGGCAATACCGTTCCACGAAGCATTTTAAACTTAATGTCGTTCGTGGAACGTAATTAAAATTAAATGGTCATTTTACAAGCCCAGTTCTCCAAACTTTTCTGAATCTTTGTTCTCTGCTTTACCATGTCATCTAAATTTAAATGAACTACTTCAAAATCAAGGAAGCGTTTTATCTCCAAACCAATCTTCTCTAAATGACAGTGTAAACTTCAAAGATCTTCCTCCAACTAAATCTGAATACTGCACTGGCCAAGCTATAGATATTTTTAAAAGTTTAACAAATGTATGCTTACCTAAAGTTCTTCCAGTTGTGGGAAATGTCAAGATTAAAAAAGCAAGACTCAAAAGTAAGTGGGATTTGTATAATAATCCTTACCATTATTCGTGTCAACGAATTTTAGGCAAAACTGCTTAGAAGGAACAGTTATTAAAAAAAGCAACTCTCTGTCATAGATCTTCAACTATTCTCCATTAAGGACTCATTCGAGATGTTATCTGATTTGCACATAAATAAAGCACAAAAGCTTTTTTGCATGCAGTTTCCAGATGTAAAAGGATAACAAAACCCTATTCTTGGATCAAAACTTCATTTTAGAGCGCAATCTGGAAAGTTTGTTTAAATTTTACATAATAATGCAATGCATTCGCTTACCATTTCAAATTTTTTAAGTACCCATCTTATCTCAGTTGATGTTTTTGATTTCTTATATTATGACTTAAGTGTTAGTGGAAAAATACTTTTTTGAAATTACAGTTCAAAGATCTCCAAAAAAAATCTGGTGGTCTTGATTGTGGTCTTTTTGCAATTGCAGCGGCAACAGATTTATGTTACAATTATGATGTAAGCATTAAATGTTATAAGCAAGAAATTATGATCATTTCTTAAAATGATTCAGTGACAATTACTTAACGCCATCACTTATAGATACTAATGAACGGAAAAAGAAAAAAATACCCAAACCAATTAATTTATTACTATATTGCATATGTCGTCTTCCTGATAATAAAGAGGAAAAAATGGTTAAATGCGACAATTGTAAGAATGGTTTCACGTTTCATGCCTTTCCATTCCAAAGAATATATTTGAGATTTCTGACAACTCTTTACACTGGCATTGTAATTCATGCAGCTAAGGTATTTTATTTAAGGAGGAGGTATTTATTAATTTTTGAAAATTTTTACACCTATCCTAAGCGTATTAAGACCCTCCACCCCCGTTTTTTGATATACCTGTTAACAAAAAAAACGTTACATCTCGAAACTTTAAAAAAATTTGGAAAGTATATATTAATAACCGATAAAAAATAAAAACTTTTCCCATCCACCCTTTTATTACGCCTGTCCACACCCTGTTTATTAGATCTGGGATAAAATCCCTTCTTCTTTTTATTTACATAACTCCCTTTTAATTACATAACTCCCTGTGTGAAATAATAAAATTTTTTTTTTATACCTTAGCTATCGATATTTTACATTTTTTACAATACCCATCGATTATTGTTTCTTTACGTTTGTTTACCCTAACGTGCTTAGGGTTTAAGCATCTTATGGTAAATAAACGTAAAGGAACAATAATCGATAGATATTGTAAAATATATAAGGCATCAATAAGTAAAGTAAGTAAAAAATTATTTCTTTTCTTACATCCATTATAAAATAATTTAAAATGGGTGTTTATATTAAATTTTTATGTTTTAGTATGTCAAGATATCAAAGCTAATAAGTATAAACGGTATTATGTAAGTTTAACCAAGTTTCTCTTCTGTTTCGAGTTGGTGAAGATAGTCATACCCGAGGCGATGATGAAAATTTTATTTAAAAAAAGTTTTGCTAACTAGAATATAATTATTACACTTTTTTCTTGTGTTTTCTCTGCAGCTGCGCGAATTATACATTTCTTGAAATCTGAATGAGTTTATAAAGAGATATTTTATTTTAGAAATTTAAAAACTACTCTAGCCAAAAGTTGATTTGTATTAGGTATGCCAAAATTGGATGTCTCAGTACCTTTCAACCATTACTACTTTATTTGAATAACTTATTCTCTAAATGTTATAGGTTTATAAAATATAGAACAAGCAAGCGATACCTATCGCCTTGACCCATGTTAAAAAAAAAGTATTACAAACTTAGAGTTAAAAAGCAATTAGTTGCACAATATACTCAGTAATTGCAATTATATAGAAAAAGATCAAACATAAGTTATAGAAGTTAAAATTTATTACTAAGTATAAAATGTCACAATGTACAACAGAAAATATAATCTATTTTGAACTCTCTATTTGGAGTTTGCGGCGTAATATATACTATACATATCACGCCTTATCATATTAGTGACTATACTTGTCCAGACTTATCATTGCAGTAGATGTATAAATACAATTAAAAGAATTCAGTATTGAACCGCAAAATTGGGTTAAGACAATAATCATCTAACAAGCGACAAACATTTAACAAGTCTTAGTTCAAACTACCCTTCACTTTCACCATTATCACGATTACCCTTCAAACTTGCCGTGTGCGTTGTGACCTTAAACAACGTAGTGAACCTATACAATTAGTACAAAATAATTAATAGAATTGATTGAATCAATTTTGTTACGTCATAAATCGAACTAGTTTATTGAGGATCTAAGTAAAGTCTTAGAACAAGCCGAATAATTTGAATAAGAAGCCGAAATTTTTTTGAAACTTGATAAAAGACGTACCTTTTTTACAAATGCTGTAGTAAAAAAACTGGAAATCTCTGTTAACTGCCACATTAGACTACCACCATCGCTAAAAAATTTTAAAGGTGGACTTGGATATTGGCTGGCGTAGCTATAATTGCAAATTTTGTAAGAAAATAGGGGTCCTTGCTTGCCTTTTTGCGTCAGAATAATTATGATGTGCATTTTAAACAAATTTTATACCGTGAATTGTTGTTATTGTTCTCAATTTCAATTATTTTGTAAATGTATACATGTAATACACATACACATGCATATAATAGTCGTGTTAAAAGCCATTTTTATTGCTTTAAATGGTTGTGTGAATAAGTTTATTTGGTTATTTGCACGATGGTCGAATAAGCTTATTGTCGAATAAGCTTATTTAAGCTTATTGTCGAATAAGACAATAATAAACTTATTTAAGCTTATTTAAACTTATTTAATAATAACTTATTTAAGCTTATTTAAACTTATTTAATAATAAGCTTATTTAAGCTTATTTTCGAATAAGCTTATGGTCGAATAAGCTTATTTTCGTTATTTGCACGACGGTCGTGCGAATAGACTCGGACAATGTTTGTCGTAACTTGTTTTCTCAGTGTTTTTCTGTTTACATTTTATTTATTTATTTGGTCATAACACTTGCAATATATTTTGATTACTATATTTTAACAACTATGATTATATTAATATAAATAATAAATATTTATAATTTTTTTAGCAGTAGTCGTTTTAACCCTTTACAGGTCAGGGTTGCCGTATGGCAACAAATAGTTTAATGTTACTTAAAACGTATAATTTTTTATATGGCCCGGATTTTCTTGGTTTAATACGGTATTTAGACTATGCTAATGCAAATAGTAAACAAAGATTGCAGTTTAGCGGCATTTTTGTATGAGAATCATTGCCTTGATTGGTACTACATTTTTTGGAATAAAAT